GCGTTTTAAAACCGTGGTTTAATTAGCTTGAAAAAAATCCTGCATTGTTTAAAATTCTATTCACTACATAAGCTTAATTCACAATTTAAATTGTTAGCCATTTTAACACCTTTTCCAAATACAGTTCTAGCCAAAAAATGGTCTTGACCAATTTTGGACCATTTTCACACCTTTTCTAGATATATCCATTATTCATGAAGGATGGAAAATAGGTCTTTTTTTTGGCCATTTTCGGGCAAAATGCATGGGCTATAGGTTTTTTACTTGCTACGAAACGTTGGTTGCCATGTTGAACACCAGAAAGCAGTAACGTTATAGCAAATCAAGATGCTGCTTGAAATTAATCAAGTGAATAAACGTATCAAGTAAGTCTAAGCAACAAACGAATTTACAACAGCTCTCTKAAATCTCTTAACATTACTTCATAAATACAAGTTCAATTGTTAGTTTTGTAAACTGGAACTAATTCCAGAACACTCCATCTCTGTTATCTGCATACTTCTTACTCCAGGTTAGATTAATGGGTCTATTTTCTTCTTGAATTAGATGACATCATGATTATCATGATTCTAATGAAGATATTGATTGTATCCATGTAGATACCAATGGATCTGAAAGAAATAAAAAGGAACCTTTATTAAAAACTGGAATACTTTGGTGTATTATGACAGACAGACAGACGTACAGAGGAACGGACAAACAAACAAACAAACAAACGAATGAATGGCCTTTCTTCAAGTGGATTCCRATTTTAATTGGATTTTTTCGGAGGGAAGAAAAATGGAGAAGTAGCAGAAAAACYCTCAAAGCACGGGAAACACTAACTAACAACTCTATTCATATGATGCAGAGTACACAGAGTTCAGAGTACRGGAATCACACTCAGGTTGAGGGCTCTCACCACTACGCCACCCAAGCTTCACTAGTAAGGTTTCATGGTGTCATTTATACCCAATTTAGACCAGAAATCCTCTGTTTCAGAAAGAAAAAACTACTGTTTTACTGGCAGTGCACTAAGCCATATTCCTTATCTTTTTTAGATAAAAAATTGTCCCTGGAAATATTTTATTCTGATAACATACAGTAGACTGCAAATTATGTTTTTGATAAGCAGGTCATTTGTCAGGACAGAAGCACATTTCACTTGTCAAAATGCAAGTCTAGAGGTACAAACCCTTTTCTGTCATTGTAATATCAGAYGTTTGATCAAAAAGTACGCAGTATTTCCTAAAGGATTAGTATTGTGGTGAAATGTGCTGAGCCAAGCCAAATAATGTAAAGGTCAAGAATCCAATTTTACTGGACAATTGTCCAATGAGTGATAGATACAAGAGATACTAAAAACGTTGCATAACAAATTTGTGAGCAGTTTTGGGAAAGAATGAAAGAAAAACAGGATAAGTAAATAAGATAGAAATTCTGACACTAACGCATTGATAGGATCATAAGGTCTTGCACCATAGGTCGGGTGTGTTTCAGCTACTCTAATGATCTTTTGGGTATCATACAACAGGAAGCCACCAAACACAACCAGCCCTCCATATGTAGTGACGGCATGAAGACCTGCACCAACAGCTGACGTGGCTGGGAGGAACAATGTACCTGGATAATAATAAGGAAATATAATATATACATGTAATATATATTTTTATTAAGCATTTGAGATACTTCTATGCATGCTCTGATTGGAGGAAAAGGTTGAAAAATCCTGTTTACATCAGATAGAATACATGCCCAGCTCAAATGTTTTGTTCATTTCATTAATGTAATATAAAACATCTGCCCTCATTTATCTACTCTTTTACAAAGATAAAGATGATGATAGTGGTGATGATGATGATAATGATGATGCAATAAAAATGATGATGATGATGGTGACTGATGATGATAAAGATGATGATGATGGTCATGATGGTGATAAAGATGATGATGATGATGATGGTGGCTGATGACAATAAAGATGATGATGATGATGATGTGATGATGATAAAGATGAGGAGGTATGAAGAGGAAAAGCAGGAGAACAAAAAAAAGAGGAAGAAGATGTTGAAGTAGAAAATAGAAGAAGAAAGGGCAGCTTACCAAGAGATGCCATGAACACTCCACCAAGAGCAAGAGCCAAGGGACCACCCCAGGTCAAGAACTTGCCGTCTGGTGCACAAGCTGCAGTAAGTGATAAGGCACCCACCACACCACCAGTGACAACAGCAGCACGGAGCACTAATGGACCACCAACCAGTACCATGGGTGCTATAATCAACCCTACCAGTGCACTGTGACCTGTAGAGGGAAAAAAAAAAAAAAAAAAGTTTGGTCAAGACCTACATATCTACCCACAAATGCAGTTCTTATGATGGCTGACAAGTGCACAACACTTCTCAGGTCATTCCTCTTGACCAATCACATTGACTGGCCACATGCTGATCAGTCCGATGTGTCAAATAGTCATGTCTGACCAAACACCTCTCAGGTCATTCCTCTTGACCAATCACATTGACTGGCCACATGTAGATCAATCTGATGTGTCAAATAGTCATGTCTGACCAAACACCTCTCAGGTCTTTCCTATTGACCAATCACATTTGACTAGTCACATGTAGATCAGTCTAAATGTAGTGGGTCATCATGTCTTAGCCCTGTACAATATCTATATCTTATTACTCCTTTTTTTCAAACCCCCTAGATACTGACCTGCCCATGCTAAGTGTTTTCCATTCAGTCCTGGTGCATAAGGGAGACTCATACATAAGATAGATGATGCTATTGTTGCAACCATTCCTCCACCAACAAACTACAAACAAAAACAAGAAAATGACTTTTAACTATCTTCTTAGGTATGCTAGTCAGGTCAGATGCTCTAACCATGAGCTATTGGGACTCATGTTGGTTTAGATGGTATTTCACCCTGGTCACTTAGGACTCGATAACCTAAGTGGAAAGGCTTAAATACCATTTAAAAATCTCTTTGACTATAGCTATGTAATATAAAAATAGAAAACTTTTACATATGCTGTTTGCAGTCATAAAGCACTGGGAATTGGCAGCACACGAGAGAAGCACTGCTCTCAATCAATCAGTAATTTTAACAAGTGCACTACAATATTATGGATTATAATTCTGAATGAATCCTTTTGGCTGCCTTGATCAAACATGGATTAACACTAGACCTCAAGCATGACCACACTTTATACCTACAYTTCCAGAGTTACTTTTTAGTAGCTTCTTTTGTTGTGCTATTATTCACTATTGTTTTGGTATTCTCAAAGGAAAAGGACTGTAGTAGTTTAGGTATGAAATGTCATTTGTCTGGAATGTGAGGCTAACATGGAATTACAAAAGAAATGTCACAAATTCCACCGAGAAAAAGTGTGATTTCTTTTGTAATTTACATGTTAGCCAAGAAAGGGCCATTTCTTTAGCCAACTATTAAAGACCATGAACAGTGATTCWAGAATAAGAGTAAATGGTTTGAACCCAGTTGTTGAAGAATGTTGAACATCAATGTATACTCACCAGAAGAGGGCTTGTTCTCATTAAYGTATGCACAGCTCTACTCCGACTAATGGCATAAGCAGCACCAGCTGTCAAAGCCAAGCTTCCTGCRAAGTAACCATAAGTGGATCGAATACGATCCCGGACYACTTGCGGCCACATTAGTGAACGATCTATAGCACCAATATTGCTTGATAATCCCAGSCCATAGAAACAGAGTGCACCCACTCCTGCTAGGGCTGCTCCACCAACAACTGCACGGCCTACTGTTTCAGCTGATAATAAAAAGGATTATATTTTAAGACAACCTATTATAAAGCTTTGGCTGTTGTATCACAGCGTGGGACAATCACAACAGGGTTGGGATCCAAACTAAGTGAAAGCTCAGAGATTGAAGCACAGAAGAGAACCAACAAACATTCTAAACACATAGGACACCAAGCTTGGCAGAACTCGATCCAAAATGCATTGGTGAAAGGCGGCAAATTAGCAGTGCACGCCACCAGAACTTTCCAATAATACCAGTAAGACAATATAGTATTRATTGCTACAGGTTAGATTTTTAAACCAACTTAACTGATTTTGAAACAACTTAACTCAGCKGAATTGAAATGATAATTTCTGGATCTACATATTTTGGCAGTACTAACAGTTGAGTGATTTTGGTAGTAAAAGCAATATAAAACAGCTGCTTATGTATCTGTATTGTGATATACATGTAAACACTCTTGGAGCTATATGTTAAGTGTATGCTACATCRAGTGTATAAGCAGACTAAAAAATCTGCCTCATTTGGGTTCTCGTGGGACTCRAACCACTGACCTCTCATTTGCTAGACGAGCTCTCAACCGCTCGGCCACTGAGGCTTTACAGGAGAAGGTCGTGTCAGATCTATATTTTAATCAAATCCGCGTGTGATCCTTTACCCAACTCTGGGAGCTGTTTCTCCTAGTCAATAAGTAGAAGAAACACTTGGCAACACATTGCTTCTCTCATGCTTTTAATACGGTTCCCATCATGTTTTTATYACAGAACAGAGACATGCATGCAGGTTTTTTGTTCCTTAATTGTATCAAGATCACTCCAAATTATATATTTCCCACTATTACAAATATTATTATTAGTGTAAAAGTAATACTCTTAACATTATTGCTTTCAAGATTGGTTTCAAGATAAAAAGTGTTAAAAACCAAGGTAGTTTTCTAAATCACATGGATGTTTTATTAATAGCTTTTTCCCCCAGTGTTACATAATCCTAACACATCCAATAACAACACATCAAACACATATCTACAATAAAATCTCTACAAATCTAACACAGAAAGTACATCAAGACAAGCAGTTACAAGAAAGTAAGTCATCTTCTTCTCCTTACCTGTTATACCAGGTGCCTTCTGCACAGCATCCCATGTCCTCCAACCACTTCGTGCTTCAGTTTGAAAGGATCTTCTTCCCACCTGGTTCAAAATACTTGTATTCCTCGACGATTTTTGCCCAAGACTTCGCCATAAGTTGGATGTACATCGGTTAGYTATTATACGAGCACTGTACATTGTTATATTCGTGTAAAAATAGCCAGTTAATTTAGAAAGGTTGAAAACTTTTTCTCATTTGAATTTTTTTTTTTCTATTTTGAAGCTGCGTAATAAATGATCATGCTTACATCATGACGCATGACGAATATGGGATACCGCTGTTCATGGTGAGTCAGCACTTTGTTTTGTTTTTGTTTTTGTTTATTGTTAAATTGAAAGAAATAAAAAACAAAATGGAAGGGAGAGGTAATCTGAAAAAACAAAAAACATGACTCAGAGGAATTCAATGCTTTCTCATGAAGGTCTTATTATATCCTCCTGCCCAACAGAGACATAGAATATCGCATTACCGCAGGCTACCCACGTGTTAGATTATCCTTGTTTTGGAGTTGCACCGCTGAGGTGTGTATTGAGAACGTGTACAGGAATTCCTTGTTTCTCCGCTCGAGCCCTCATTTATAATTGGCCAAGCAGGCAAACCTTGCTCTCCACTAAAAATAATAACACTCAGCCCAGTTCTCTCCACCAGTTCATCTATTGATGGTTTTCAACCATTCCCAATAGAATTAAATAACAAATGACACGGCGGCCATGTTGGAGGATATAACAAAAGAATTCATTGACATTCTTTTTTTAAATTCCTCCAACATGGCCGACGTGAAAACCATCAATTTAGATCAATCTGGGTTGGGTGAAGAGGTGTCGTAGTTTTATCTGTTAATGAATCAATTAGTGGACACATTTTGTGATACTTTAAAAATTGGTTTTTGTCGTTGTGGGGGACCTCTGGATTTACACTCCTGTCGAGTGAAGAAAATATTTAGCAAAAATTATAAGATGATTAAGAAAATAATAATCGATCCTTTGTGAAAGATAAACTGTGTGCATTATTGGATGTCATTCAGAGGACACGTCAATATGGTCAGGTCAAGCTGCCAGCGGTGAATATGCCATATTTAAGACCCAAAATTATAATTAATTAAAGGAAGAAAATACAACTTATGTTTGTCTGGCAGGATAAGATCTTGCTGGAGATTACTCAACTGCTGTCATAGAGCCTTATCGGTGTTTGAAATCATCAATAATTTCGTGGCTGACGATACGCGATATAAATGTTGGAAAGGAAGGAAAGAAATGTGATAGGTGTAGCTGTCACGAACTTGGCACTTCCAGTCATTATGCCCACGATATGAGAGGCACAAGTCCATGCAAAGTTCTACTCCACAACTACAGTATTCGATAACAATAGGAAATTTTATAAATACTTTCAAAAATCTTCAAATTTTTCGCCAAAATCAGTCAAAAATCAAAAGAAAAGAAGAAAGAAAATCTGTACTTTGACGGTGGGTGTTCTTAATTTTGGCATAGTGTTTCAAAAAATTGTGATCCAGCTGTGAGCGATGTGATGGAGGGATTATGACGTCATGGATTTATGGCGAACTAGACCTCGTGGTTTGATAGGACTGATTAAACACGAACAACTCTTTAGCATGAATATGTATTGCCATCCAAAGAATGTGGAAATATCGCTTCCTACTGTGGCATGCGGTATCTAGAACTCTCCAAAACAACGGAATTAAATCACTTGCAAAAAATCCATACATAAGAATTGTTTTGTCTTTTTATGGCAACTCATCATAAGCTTGAACGACTTTCGAGTCATGGGCAGCGATTTCGAGATATTCCAAAAATTGAATGTCATACAGAACGCTTTAGTTGTATTAATTTTGAAGGCACCGTTTTTGGAGTGCTATTGTTTTTAGGTGATTATGTCAGAGATAGTTGCTCCCAAGGGTAAATAAATTTAACCAATGAAATTGAGGGGTTTTATTATAACTGACAGATACGGTGAGGTGTCTGTTTGCCAAAGCTTACATTAGGTTCGCTGTGGTTTATAATTAAGCAAGTYTTATTTGCATTGCATCCTGAGCCCTGCTGATTCGGCTCCTAGACCTGTCACTCCCCTCACTGAAGCTTAGCATCGATTCGACTCTCCGTGCATACGAATAAACTCTCAGAATCGAGCGCAAAAAACATCAAAATGTCTCTCGCAATTATCAAGGAAAAGATGCAGAAGATCAAAGATAACATCGATGATGCGGAAGAAAGAGAAAGCGAAGCCAAAGGTCTGCTTAAAGAAGCTCTATCTCGCGAAGAAGTTCAATTAAACGAAGCAGACTCGCTCAGGAGGAGAATTAAATTGTTGACTGAAGACTTGAACAAAACTGAAGACAGGCTTGCCGAGGTCGAAGAAAAGTTAGATGAAGAATTGAATAAGACCAATAGTCATGAAGAAGCAAGGAGAGGGTTAGAGGACTTTGAAATGGAAGGCGATGAGAAAATACAAGAGTGGGAAGCCAGGGTGAAGGAGATGGAGCACACCGAGAAGGAATCAAGCGACAAACTTACCGAGGCAGAGCGTAGATGCGTAGTTTTGAAAAGAGATCTCGACAGAGCCTTAAGCAAAGGAGACGTGTTGGAGTCGAGAGCAGAAGAACTGCAAGAGAAGGTAGAAGACGCTGTACAAAGGGTCAAATCGCTGGAAGAAAACGAAGAGATTACGTACGAGCGTGAAGAAGAAACCGAGGAAAAAATTAAATTTTTGGATGAGCAAGTAAAGCAGTATCAACAACGTTCCGACACTGCTGAACGAGAATGTGTCAAACTAGAGCGAATCTCTGACCAAATACAGACCGAAATACTACAGTATAACCAGAAGAAGCGAGATATTGAAGAAGAAATGAGGCAATCGTTGGCAGAGCTCGACAGTGATTTTTGAACTTGTCTTTCTTCCTTCATTATATTCATGGTTATTACCGAACAAATTCCTCAAAGTTTTACAAAGTTTATTCTACTTAGTCCGTTGAATTCTGACAATGGTTTGCATACTTTACCGTATTCGTATAGCAATAACATGAAGACCAGCTCAGCTGATATACAAAATTACGCTGGCAAAAAGATATGGATTCAATATGGATTTTTAACATACATTATATTATGAATTACAGTGCTGAATCTAAGCCTCAATAATTAGGTAGTTTTTTAAATTTCAATCGTTACGCAACCGCCAAATTTCTACAGCATAAAGTTGATTCACTTATGGAGTACAGGGTCTGCGTAAAATAATAGTTATGATCATGATTTTTGTAGTAAAGTTTAAAAAAATATATTCTGAAATGTGAGCTTCGAGTTGTAATTGAATTCACTTGTACGAAGCTTAGACAAACAATGGGTATATTTGTTTAGTTTTTTGACTTCTTTAGAAAAGACTTTGATTAACTTTTTATACGCCATATTAAGACCTTAAAGTATACATAATTATTATAATTATTATTTCAAATATATTCTAGCAAGAAAAATCAGCCACAGTTTGATTTGCATGACTTAATGTTCACTCATCGTACTCATCATCAAAGCGGCACCCTTTATTATTAAGCGCGGACACTAGGCTTTTGTTCCAAAACTTTTCTTCTTATATCTAATGTTGAAACAAACTCTTTATTCAAAGGACGCATCTATTAAGCGTACGCCAGACAAAGTCGCAAGGGTGCCCGCTTGATAGAGGCTACCACTGTAATAGTACTATGAAATTGTATATTAACAAATCGAATTGTTTTGCCGAGGTACCAGGTACTCCCTTAGTAAAGCCTGTTTCAAGACCATGGTTAGTCCGTCCGTAGGCCACCTATGAAATTTTGGGTCCCTGGACCTAGAGTTATATGAAAGATGAAACTGCACGTCAACTGGCCATAGAAACCCTAGTCAAGGTCGTGGCCAGGGGGGAGCACAGGGTGCACGTGCACCCCTCCCCTCCCCCACCTCCGCCATAAAAGCTTAAGGTCCGCTCATCTATCTCCTTTTGCTTTAGAATTGCATGTAAATGTTTTTGGATTAAATGAGGACCACTTTCCACTGCTAATGTAGCTGATACTGAGATTCTGTTTTGAATAGCAACTGAAGATGTTGATGTAGTGGTTCAGACGTTATGACGTCCATGCGAGTGTTTTGTTCAGCTCGGCGTCTCGAGTCCATTGATGCGGATATAGTGAAGGTTGCTTGCGTTTTATTTACTGGCTCGCACAGACCCCAACAATGCTTATCTTTTTGATGCTAAATATAGCGTCTGGTGCAGTCCAATTTGATTGCAACGACTCTTTTTTTTTTTTGCTGTTGTTACGAGAAACCCCCGACATCTGCGCGCTACTAGCTGGCCAGTGCGGTATCACCGGTTATTTCTCAATTGACACGGTTTTCTTTGTTACTCACAAGGCTTTATTTTTGTTATAACCCTCATTATAAATGCGATGTCAATATATAGTTAGTTATTAACCCGGTTAATAACTATATATATATAGACTTTGCATTCATAATGAGCAACATTTGATAGAAAACCTTCTCAATTGATAAATAAAATACTTAATTAGCTCGAACGTCGGCAATAAGGCCTATACACCCCTCGGGACGTATATGGCTTATTGCCTCCGTTCTCGGTAATTAACTCTTACCTATAACTACTGCTAGCTCTATACTGTTAGCTCTATACGCTTACTTCTGCATCCGGTTCCATTACTGCCAACCTATATCTATACCACTCCTTCAACCCTTCCACTCTCCGCCCTATCTGGCTATAGGCGGATCATATATACTAACACCATCAATCACTGCCATCGTCGTCGTTCTACTAGTACCAACACCATAACCTTGTTATCACTCTCCTAAGTACTTCCACCTTCCAACCAATTCCTAGATTTAGCACTAGCACTAGCACTAGCAATGCACGCTCCCACTTCCAAACAAGTTCTCCCACAACCAATAACTCCTTTAACAACCACACTTCCCCAGTCAACCATCACTAGTGCTATTACCACCTATTCTTCGTTTGCACGTTATGTCATCGCGGCCATGTTTGTACCATTTAACAAAAGATTTCTCATTAGCATCCATTGTTAACGGCACCACAATGGCCGCCATGCTTTTGTCTTTTAACTCTATTGGGAACGGCTTGCAACCCATCAATAGCTATTACCTTATTAACACTTCTCCAATAGCGCAGCGCAACCGTGACGTCATAAAAACGAAGACAAAGGCGAAATTCGGACAAACAAACTTACAAGTTTACTTTCAGCAGATAATTTTCACAGCCGATCGCAGTTGATCTTAGTTTACATGGGTTATTATTGTAGCTTTAAGTAAAAATAGTAAAATCGGTTCGTATAATCCTCGTAGCCGTTAAACAGAATGCAATGCTTGTCCGAATCTTTAAGCTATTTTTAGAATCAGTGCGCTGCGCTATTCCAACCTACCACTATACCATGTAGTACTATAACTATGCAGTAAACCAATGCAACTATTACAAATAYCCACACCTTTAACACTACCACTTCTAACCAAGTTCTACCACTACCTTCCCATGCAGTTAACCACTAGTGCCATTACCATCTAGCTATTATCATTGTCATTAGTACAGAGGGTAAAAAAACAGCGCGCGTAATGACACGTAATACATTTGTCAGTATCACACCCACATTTTATAGACACAGTCAAGACTGTTTTAAGATTTTTCTTAATTCTTTTATGGAAAATACTTCAAAATAATTAAGGAACATCATTGAAGTTTACGAAATAAAATATGGATTTAGTAATGAACGCACCATCAAAATGTCACATTTTTTCGCGTTCAGTAACTCAGAGTAACTATGATTAAATGAACGACTACAAGAAAGCAGAGCTCGTTCTGAAAATTTGCCATGTACCGTTTGTGAGTGCGTTACAAAAAAATGTCCTTTTTAATGACAGCACATTGAAACGCACAGAGTAAAAGCAACACTCGCTCTGAAAATTTGGTATATGCTTTTTACGAGTTACATAACTAGAAAACCTCCTCAGTTTACCCCGATTACTGACGTCAAAAGGCTTCGAATAAAAGCAAAGCAAAGCTCGTTATAATTAAGTCCAGGGAGTTGTCTGACATAGATTAATTAGTTCTTCATCCTACGATACGTTAAGAACAAACCGTAAAAATCAATTAACATTTTCCTTTGAGTGAACACCGGTGAGAAGAACGACAAGGGCCTTTTCATTATATATAGTCTTTCTCGTTGTACTTTGCTTCATATTTTTATTTCCACTTGTCGGTTGTAGATCAAAGTATATGCCACGAAAACTACATACAGTCAGTTTCTGATCAAAACCTAAAAGTTGGACCTAAAAGTTAGGCGGAAGGAATCGAAAGGAAAAGCGTACCAATTGATCCGTTCGCAAACGAGAGAATTTTCGTAAGGTGAAAGCTAACTAAGAAACAGTATAGAAGCGGTGAGTATAGCGAAAATAGTAATTCATAAGAATCAAAAGATTTTTCGTCTTCTTCTTAACAGACAATTATTGTAGACATGCACTAATTTCATTGTTCTGCTACTCAACCAACTGACTTAGAATTTGTTCCCTGGGCCGGACCGATCGATAAACGAGGCTATTTCCGTTCAGTAAGGTTCAGATTTCAACTACTACCCTTATTCTGCGATCCTTCAGTCGGCTAGATATTGTTCTTCTATGTAGGTAACCCAACGTAAAACGTTTAAAAAACCTAAGACAAACAAACATAAACGACAGTAAACCTTATATTGTTATGCAACAGAGTTTTAGAATTTTATCGACTCGAAACTGAGGGATGRTAGCTGTTTCATAACACAGCAAAAACTCATTATGTCACGCCTCACTCGCTAAGTATCTATCTAAAAAATATCCGTTTCTAAGGTTCAGATTTGGGGAATAGTGGGAAATAGTGGCATATGATTGTATGGATTGTAGTAGTAAAAATCGAACAAGCGCCAAACGAACGAGCGGGTGAAAAATAAAGGAAGGATAGAAGACAAGTGAGAATGACGGATCATAAAAGAAAAAAAGCGCGAATTGGGAGGAAGATGATAAGTATATCGATCATTTTGTTGAATAGTCAATTCTTCACCATTTCTCGATCTTTTCGTACTTTTCAATATAACACCATGCATATTCGTATACGTACATAGTGTTCGCCAGGGCTGGGTGCTCGCGCTAAAGTAGGTCTTAAGCACTGATTTTTTTTTTCCTTTTTAGTTATCGGTCATGATCAAAAGCGTCTTATTCGTCATCGGGGGATTGCTCCTAATTGGAGTCGTCATCCTTTGGTTTTTTCTTGGACGAAGACGAAAAAAATCAGTCGAGAACCTGCAAATTCTACACAGGAGGCAAGATGGAAAGACGTGTCATAATTCAGAATCAGGTTCTACGCGGCCTYGTTCTCGCATTCTACGTAGTCTTGAAATGATAGATCCTGTTCGTTCACATTGGAAAAAACCTTCGCCAGATCGCCTGCCAAGAATACAGATGCTTTCTGAATGCTTTTCCCCAGGGTATGATCTGCAAGTATGCCGCTCTACCAAATCTCCGGCTCCTCGCCAAAACGTCTCCTCTTTTGAAAACGTGCATGAAGAAATACACTCTGCAGCTGTAAATTCCCCAAATGAAACTAGTCATCCAAGTCTGCTTACTGAAGGCATGCGTTTGCAAAACCTTGCAGTGAATTTCGCATCTGAATATCTTCAGTCTGGTCTTGTGCGACAACCATCTAGTCGAACTGCTACTCACAAAATCCCTGAGCAATTTCCTGCTAAATCTAATTCTCAAAGTCTACATTTAATTCATGGTACGTGCATTCCAAACATTACAGTGAAACTTGTCACAGACGAACCTATCGTGCAAACACATTCAGGGAGACCTCGTTCTCAGAGTCTACGGTCTTATGAAG